ATAACTATAATGCTATAATATAATAATATAATAAATAATACAAAAATAGAATATTTTCTATACTATGCTATGCTAGTATTACTCTGTATTACAATCTACTTTGTAACATTATTAATCTACTCATGATTTTTATTATAAAAATAAATAAGTACCTTCTAATAACTATTTTTATACATATTTCTTAAGTGCTACCCTAATAAATCCAACAGCCTTCTTTTTTTCTTGCACATGGAATCAATAAAATGTGTAATTTAGCAAAACTTTGCATAACATAAAATTTCATTGGCTTGTAAAAATAGTGTACTAGAGGCAAAAAAAAAACTTCTATAAAATTTTCATTTAATATATAATCATAAAAACTTATATTATATACAGTATATTTATTTTTTTTTTGTTTGAATAAAAAAAATGCCCAAGAGAACAACTCTTACCGATGCACAAAAATATAAGCTTTGTGTCTATGCTCGTGATAATAAAAAAACTCAGCCTCAATATGTTGAATAGATTAAGAATAAATAGAATCTTAGTATTAATGAAAGTACAGTTTTATGTATTTTGAAAACAAGTAAAGAACATCTTGAAAACAAAATCACTAATTCTAATGTAAAGTATCACAGAACTGTTACTTACCTTGAACTCGATATTGCTCTTAAAGAGTTTGTGCTAATTTATTAGCATAAGATGATTTTAAGTGATGCTTTACTTATTGAAAATGCAAAGACACTTGCTGATGGTCTGATAATTCCTTAAGAAGCATTAAACTTTTCACCTAGTTGGCTTTATAAATTCAAAAATCGAAAAGGTATTTGCCTATATTTGCTTTAAAGTGAATCTGTATCTGCTGATAAGATAGCAATTAGCAACATTTTGCTAATATTAAAAAATATATATGCTAATTATTCTGTTGAAAGAATATATAATATAGATGAAACTGGCCTTTTTTATCGGTATAAGCCTTTATTTGTTTTTGCTTAAATTTAAAAAAAATTTGTATTTCTTAGCAGTACTCATTTATATATATTTTTTAAATTATATTATTAACTTTTACCTTTAGATTGGAACCTGATAGAACATTGACAACCCAACATCTTTTTGGATGTAAAATAAACAAAGAATGCCTCTTAATTGCACTTTGTACAAATGCTAATGGCTCACATAAATTGAATCCTCTAGTAATCAAAAAACTGTGCTGCTTTAAAAATATCAATATTAGTAATTTGCCTGTAAAATACAAAAACAGTACTAAAGCCTAGATAATTACATTCCTTTTCCAAGAATGGATTAAAGAATTTGATTGTTAAGTCAGTCTTAGATATTAGGGCCAATGTGTGCTCTTGCTTCTTGACAACTGCCCTAACTATGAAATCAATAATGTTAATCTTCAATATACAGATATATAATTTTTATCACTGAATACTACTTCTAGAATTCAGCCCATGGATGCTGGGGTTATTGTGAGTTTCAAAAGGCATTATTATCATCTTTATGTTTGGTAAGCTTTTTTTTTAAAAAAAAAATTTTTTGTATATATATACATACAATCTAAATTGATAAAACATATAAATTTATATATGTTTTTTAAGTTGGATACTACAAGAAGTCAAAAAGGGAAAGAAAGCAGAAAATCTAAAAATGAATATATTATAAGCCATCCATTATATTATTTAAAGTTGATATGAAGTTAATACCAATACAATTTGAAATTGCTGGCATCATACAAAAATTCTTCCTGATTCTTATTTACAAAGTTCCTTGAAAGATCAATGTCAAACTACAGACCCTGTGCTTGAAGATGCACTTGAAGCTCTTGACTTCCTTGACTCTATACAAGTTGATGAGTTTTTGGCAATTGCTAAAGAAAATATTGTTTATGAAGTTCCTTCAGATGATCAAGTTATTACAGAGCTTGTTAAAACGTTCAGAACTAATAATCCAATTGTTATTGACTTAGAAGATGCAGATGATAGCTGTGAGATACCTATGGTTAATGCCAACATGGCAAATACAAGTTTGAAAACCGTACGTATGTTTTTACTTCAGGAGGAAGGTACAGAAGAATACATCAATATTCTAAGAAAAATTGAAAATTTTATTAGAGGAACGAAGGTAAACCAAATACAACAAAGCAAAATTGATCAATTTTTTTTAAAAGAGAATTGAATAGAAAGTTTTAAATAGATCTAAATTTTTTTTTTCTGCTTGGTTATAAAAAAAAAAAAAAAATCAATTTTATTTTTTGCACTTGTGTAAATAATTTTTTGATATTAAGCACAAAATGCTCCATTGTTGTGAAATAAAATTTTAGCCAAGAATTACTGTTATTGCATACGTATATACTTTGCTATGTGAAATATAAGCTATGTATATACATATATACATGGCTTTTATCACAAGGTATAAATCTGATTTGAGTGCATATAAACTGTTCTTTTGTATTAGTAAAGGAATAAAGTGTATTCTTATTGGCTTATTTTTAAGATTAGTTATATACATGTATTTCTAGAAGTATGTATATATACTTAGAATCCCAAAGTCTCATGCATATACAGAATGTAGAAGATGTCTAAGTCCCGAGCTTGGTACCAGGCTATGGTATGTATATAGAGAAGGTTTGTACTTAGGAGGCGTGCATACACTTAAGAGGGTGCAACTGTATTGTATAATTTCGTTATATATCAAAATAATATTATACTTAATATGATTAAATAAGAGCTACCAAAGAAAAACCTAAATCATCAAGTGTTCAATTATATTTTGTATCAGACATAATTGATTTAATTTATTAGATTAATCTCTAATAAATTAAATCGATTATGTCTGATATAAAATATAATTAATCACCTAATAATTTAAGTTTTTCTTTAGCAGCTCTCATTTAATAATAATTGTATATATTATTATATTACAGATATGATGCTGGTTGTTTATAATGTTTCCTTGTGAAAAATAAAGTTAAATTGATTTAAATCAATATTAATCATTGTAAATAGATACAAATAGATATAACTCAAATTCTTTGAATATTACTCTTAAACATTCTTATATAATTTTTCTTTTTTTGATTAATAATCACTTTAATTTAATATTTTTTTTTTCTTTTTATTATTTGTTTTCACTCTTCTTTTTTAAATTTAAGAAACAGAATCTAGTCTAGGTTCCAGTATTTTAGTGCCCTTTTATTTTTTTAATTTTATTTCTTTCTCTTTTACTTAATTTTACTTATTATTGCTTATTTTCAGATTCAATTATTTTTTTTTATTTTTTTATTCTTTTTATTTTTCTTTTTATCTCTTATTCATTTTATTTACTTTTATTTACTTTTCTTATTCTTTTATTTGCTTTTTTCTTTTTCTTTTGTTTAATTTGCTTTTTTTTGCTTTCATATTTTCATTTTTTTTGTTTTTTTTATCTTTAACTGTTCTTATTTGCTTTTCCTCTCTTTTTTTTATTCTTTCTTATTTGCTTTCTTACTTTATTTCTTTTTTTTTTTCTCTCTCTTTTATTTCTTTATTTTTTTTTCTATTTTTCTATTTTTTTTTTTTCAAAATACGTTGGCAATATCTTTATTGTTTTTATGATTTTTCAAAACCTAATGATTTAATTCAACACATTTCTTAAAATTATTCTTATTCTAATAATATAGCAAGTTAAAAGATTCTGCTAAGCAAGTAGATACTAGTATTTGGACTCTACTGAATTATAGTTCTAGTTACAATTCTTATGCAAATAAATCTTCTATAATATATAGAGTAAATTAGTATTAATTTGTTAATAAAATTATAAAACAATAATAATAATTATATTTAAATAAAGACAAAGTTATATCAGATTCTGTATTAAATTTTTTTATACAAACAAAAGATAACTATAATGAAAATTCTATAACTTATAAGGTTAGTTGTATTCAGTATTGATATTTAGACTATGTTTATATTTTTAAAAAAATATGAATATAGTTCAAATATATATATTCAATTAAAAAATAACTATATCTATATAATTTTAATTAGTCCAAATACCAATATATGTTGCATTATAATGCTTTTATAAGTTATAAAATATTATATAATAATTAATAATAAAATGAAGATATATCAGTATTATCTAATTCTAATATAGAAACAAAGCATTTTTTGGCAAGTTCTGAGTCTTCTTTTATATCTATTGAAATTGATCCAGAAGACTATAAAGATGCTTTATCTGATAATGCAGTTCATAATCTTCTATATTCATACAAAGTTGTTTAACCCAATAATACATATCATGAATTTATAGTAATTATCAGTAAACATCAACTATTTAATTTAGTTAGTAATACTTTTATAAAATTTTTTAATAAGTATTAAAATCTGAATATTTCACTACTTCTTTTATTAACAAAGTTTGGAAAGGAATTTCTTAATAATTTGACTATCTCTTATATAATATTTAAAGAAATTCTTATTATAATATTTCAAAATATTGAATATATATTTTATTATCAATTATTAATAAAGACAATAAAGTCTTTATTAATGATTAATAGTATAAATCAGCAATTAGTGATTAAATTTGAAAATAAGAAAGAGATAAGAAATAATGTAGAGTGCTATACTATATATTTGAAGAGCAATATAATTGCTTCTGATGAGAACATAAAAAATTATTATTACTTCTTGGTTAACAATTACTATTGATAATCTTTTATTCTAATATGATGACCCTAGATTATATAAAGAAATCTTTTGGACACCTCATATTTTTATTCTTAAATAATATTAAAGTTTGAATTAGTTTTATTTTTTATTATAAATAAAGGATTGGAATTATATAGCAAGCTACTATGTTTAGTAACTAAATATAATAGCTTGCTATAAAAATTTTTTAGTTAACTAAACTAATTCCAATTCTTAATTATAATTAGTTTTAATATATAATTGA